CCCCCCTCCCCGTCGACGAATTTATAGAGGAGAAATTAGGAGGTTTATAGAAGCTGTGCGCGGTAGCTAACCGTAGATCATCATTAGAGGCCCAACTGGGCTGCTATGTGCGGATACATATGTGCCGCGGGTCCAGCCACATATTTACCTGGCCACAGCGACCGACAGTCCGACAGGTATGCCGATGCGGCGTGGAGACTGGAGAGCACACGCGTGTTAGAGGCGCGGTCCCTCTCGTGCGTGTGCCTATTGCCTCGTGTTCGGGATGATATGCGGTAGGATTGGTAAGAACTTCTACAGCGCGCGAGAATATTTTTCTCCGACGCGTTCCGATGCGTTTACGTAGCCGTTACCTGCGGAACAAACCCGCAAGATGAACGGAGACTCGGATAAATTGATCGGTATAGAAAAATTACCGACCTAATTTAATAAAAAAAATATATATATATTCCTCAAATGTGAAAATATCTCTAGAAGTGAAATTAAAATTTGAAAGTAAAATTTTGTAATAAATTAGATAGTTACGGGAATTCTATCTAAGTAACAAAAGTTTAATAACAAAAATTAAATAAGCAAATTCATTATAAAAATACTCTATGTCGACCATTTTTTCTGTAAAGTGTTCAGCTCTTCGATAGAAAAGCACTTTGGATATTTGTCAACAAATGTGTGAGAAGAATTGTTGAAAGAACTTATTGATTTTAAATTTATTTATCAGAAGTTTTTTCATGTTGCTATTTAAAAAATAATACAATTTTGAATACAATAATTATTAGTAGAAGAATAAAAGTTTTTCAAGTATGTTTTTTCTTCCTTGTTGTTTTATATTTCCTTTTTTTCTGCAAGCAACTAAAAAAATGACAATTTTTTATTTATGCCATAGCAAGTGAAACGATATGCGTTAAAAATCGAGTTCAATTTCAGAGCATGGAAAGTTATGAAAGGCAGCTTTACTGTACTACTTAATTAGGGTAGAAGTGAAACTCATATTAATTGTGAGCGAGATAATTTTTCCCTTTTTTAAGACTCTCATCGTAAATTACGATTTATCTGTGATATCCAACGAGCTCGTCTTTGTGAGCGCGCGAGCGCGCGAGCCCGTCGTATTTTTCTTCGTTGCGTGCCACTGTCGTTACGACATGAAATAAATGCTTGTGCATGTACAAAGCACATATATGAAGGTATATAGTTAGTTATTAACGGCGCATGCTGTGAGATTCCACGTTACACCGAGCTCTCTCCGAAAGGCGTGAGTGGAAGAGGAGAAAGCGAGAGAGGATGGGAGCTTTCAGTTACGTGAATTTCGTTTCGAGAAAACTTACTGCACGTTGGTGGATAGGGTGTATATAGAATGCACAAAGGCTCTGGGCACGGCAGCGAGACTGCTTTGTGAGAGTCCTAATGGACGCTGGGTAATGATGTCGACGAAAGATTGTACTTCATGCTTAATTCTATCGCCTTGGTACTCTATCTGTACAAGGAATTTTCGCCGGAAATTTCGCTCTGTTATAATGTCGCATTAAGCACATGACGGCTTTACTAAAATACCGTAAAGATCATAAAATACCGCGTACGATACGGGAGCACAAAGCGTTATCAATTATTGTCCAATCTCACTATGAGTCGATAATAACATACGACTTATTCTATGATTTATTACGTTTGAGTATTGTAAAGGATGCACTTTAATTTGACAGTCTGTAAATTAATTTAATTTTAAAGTAACATTGATTTATTAGTCCGTCAGGTTGAGCCGATAAATTAAATAATTACGAGATTTAGCATTATCCCTCGCGCTGAGTGCGCGGTTAACGTTACTCGCATGTTCATTGCGCATGAGGCATGCTTCCTCGCGCGTGAAACGTCTATGAGTACTTAATCAAAATGTTGTAATCGTGGCATTAAAAAATTCCAAGATCTATCCCCGTGTATGTGTGTGTGTGTGTGTGTGCGTATGTGGATATTCAAAGTATGACTCGCGCGTAACGGTGCGACTAACAATTGGCAATAAAGGGCAATCGGTAGGTCTTTCACGGAATAGCGGTATATTTTTACGGCCAAGTAACGTACCCTTGCTTACCAGGAGAGAAGAATCTCGCCGGAAAGAAGTGAAAGGACGACGTACGCCGGGTATCCACGGATCCCGGCTATTAGATACGGTCCGGCACCATTACGAAATGTTCATAACATAACGAATTATCGGTATCCGTGCGTCATCGTCGCCATTATAATTCTTCTTCTAGGCCTCCAATTAACCTCGTCGATGCCTTTCATCCAATCGCCATCCGTTGATGTATTCCGTTATCACTCGCTATTACGGAATGTGTCTGTACACGCGAATCTATTTGGTCGTAATTGGATCCAAAGTAAGCAACTTTACAGCTTATTTGACAACTCTCATGATAAGATTTACGATTCTTTATTCATTATTGTGTAAGAAACGACAAAAGTATTGTGACAGCGGTTACTATTGTCTGATTCCACCATGACCAGATTTTTGGGACTTTGAGAAACACTTCAGGCTAATGGTGCCATGACGCCCACAAACCGTCTTAGATATTTAGTTGATCCTTTCACAATCTGATTTCTTAAATGAAAATTCCAATTCGTGATCTATCAAAAACAAATCTGTATATTATTCAAAGAACAGTCTGTTAAAAAAGACTTTTTTCCCCATTAATGAAAACGTAAAAAAGTGAATCTTATAGATTTCAATCTGCTGAATGAACGATGTTACTGTTAGTTTTTATTGAAAATGTGGAGAACATCGTTATTTTTCAGTGTAAAAGTCCTATTTTTCAGTGAAAATAAAATCTTTTACGTTTCCATTAGTGGAAAAAAAACAATCTTTTTTTTGTTCTTTTTTCAATCTTTAAAGTTAAACGTAAATTTTACTGGATATTGTATTCAAAAATAAATATCTCAATTCTCAAGTCTCTTCGTTGAACTTTTAACAGCTACATCCATCTCGGTTTTCTCAAGAGTATTTCAAGCCACGACTGTGCTCAATAATATACGGTTCGTCCAGTGATACATGAAGTGGCGGTTAGTGGCAACCAACAGTTTGGCGAAGCGACGGAAAAGCGGCATGGCGTCTGTCGTGCTTCCGCAAAGTAGCATACCTCTACTTCTACCTGGCCCAGAGGGGTATGACGCAGTCCAGGGCCGGTCTGCCGCAGAAACTGCTAAATCTCCCGTAGTAGTGGTAAACACCATCAGTGTAAGCCGCAAATCCTGGCTTAACCCGAGCCTATGAATTGGTTAAAGGTCGCGTTAACTGGGCTCGTCCCGTGTCACCAACGAGAAGAAGCGCCGCGGCTCTTTCTCCCTTAGGTATTACATACCTTCGTTTCTTCATACTGATCTCGTCTTTCATGTCCTTCGGATTCTCCTCTGGCGCTTTCTGAGAGAGAAGAGTCCTAATTGGCGAAACCGAAAGATTTCGCTCGAGATCCTTGCTTGGATTATCATCGATAGCTATGTATCTATAAATAGACACACCCATTTGCTTCCGAATGCAGGGATAAAATATTGTTCGGTCGAAACGCGCACCTCCTTGGTAAGGGTTAAAAGCATCGTTGACGATTCTTTAAGTATCGGGAGTTAAGCGTGAATAACGCGGTCCTTTGATCGTCAGGTATGCCGTGCACCCGCATTTCTATGTAAAGCTCGTTACCAAACTCCCGGCTTCGACCGGATGCTGCGATCAAATAACGAGCCTCCGATTCAGTCAGAGATGCAAGTAGTAATCTCATTATTTGTCGAACGTGTGTCGCTACAATGAATGATTCCTATGTAGTCGTTTTTCGCATGTTTTCGCCCACTCGCTTCATATTATATCCATTCATTCGATTGGTATTCAAAATCGACTTATTGAAGAAAATTATTTGAAGTAAACGAAAATGCCATTTCTATTATATTCTGTTTGAAAAGTAACATTTCTGTTATGTTACTGTCTTCTTTTACTGTCAGATCTACATTAGGAGTATGTGAACCGTTTCTTGAAATTCCTGTGAAAACGCCAGTGCCAATTTGTGTAATCGCTCGAGGACTATTCGAGAAACAATATAAGATGATGTTTTAAGTAACAAGATTTTCCGTGTTGATAGCTGGTTCCTTATAAATCGATTGGCATTCGCCAAAGTGTCACAACATATGTTTTGCTGGATCATCGCTGAGAACTAAAACTAAGATTATATGTAGATTATCGAGCTTCATTTAATTTTACTAAGCTCATACGATTTCGAGAACAAAAGTTAGCGCACAAAGAAATCTTTATCCCTTACTTTACAAATGCCATTTATTGACGTGTGTACAGAACATATACAGACGTATGTGACAGAATCTCATTAATTATTGATTTTTACGATTGATGTATTTTTCATGAATGAATTTAATTTTCAACATAAGTGTTTGAATTCTGTAAGAAGCTTTCATTACTGATGTGAACCTGGCGCTCAACTTTATCAAAAATAAAAATTAATACTACAGACCGTTGTACTTCGTTTGTACTTGTTTGTACCGATCATTATTTCGTTTGTACCTCAAACAGTTAAACAAAAAGTGAAAAATAAAAAATGGCCAGCGCGCAACTTTAAAATTTTTTAATTTTATTTAAGCCATTCGAAAGAGAATCATTTGTACCTCTCTTATTTTCGTTTGTACCTCAAAGGGTTCGGAGATACAGCGCGTTTCAGTTTTTGCGCAACCCCTACATAGCAAATTTAGCAAATTTTAAAGATATCGAAATGGAACCAACGGCATTCGAAAGAGAATCGTTTGTACCCGTTTGTACTTCTCTTATTTTCGTTTGTGTCTCAAAGGGTTCGGAGATACAGCGATTTCAAAATGCAATTTCATAAATGCGTCAAGAGGGTAAGTCGGTTATTTTTAAAGATATCAAAATGGGACCAACGGCATTCGAAAGAGAATCGTTTGTACCCGTTTGTACCTCTCTTATTTTCGTTTGTACCTCAAAGAGTTCGGAGATACAGCGCGTTTCAGTTTTTGCGCAACACCTCCCTATATAGTATCTCCGAACCCTTTGAGGTACAAACGAAAATAATAGAAGTACAAACGGGTACAAACGATTCTCTTTCGAATGCCGTTGGTCCCATTTTGATATCTTTAAAAATAACCGACTTACCCTCTTGACGCATTTATGAAATTTTGAAATCGCTGTATCTCCGAACCCTTTGAGGCACAAACGAAAATAAGAGAGGTACAAACGGGTATAAACGGTTCTCTTTCGAATGCCATTGGTCCCATTTCGATATCTTTAAAAATGACCGACTTACCCTCTTGACGCATTTATGAAATTTTGAAATCGCTGTATTTCCGAACCCTTTGAGGCACAAACGAAAATAAGAGAGGTACAAACGGGTACAAATGATTCTCTTTCGAATGTCGATGGTCCCATTTCGATATCTTTAAAATTCGCTAAATTTGCTATGTAAGGCATGTTTTTGCGCAAAAACTGAAACGCGCTGTATCTCCGAACCCTTTGAGGTACAAACGAAAATAAGAGAGATACAAACGATTCTCTTTCGAATGGCATAAATGAAATTAAAAAATTTAAAGTTGCGCGCTAGCCATTTTTTATTTTTCACTTTTTGTTTAACTGTTTGAGATACAAACGAAATAATGATCGGTACAAACAAGTACAAACGAAGTACAAGGCCTGTAGTATTAATTTTTATTTTTGATAAAGTTGAGCGCCAAGTTCACATCGGTGCTTTCATTTTGGATGTTTTACAAATATATTTTTCTATATGACGAATATAACAAATAAAAAATCTAGAGAACTCGACAGATAATTTATATATTAAATGTATATAAAAATTTAGAAAAATTTATTTCCTATACATTTTAAAAAAGATACCATTACAATATGACATTCAAAAAGTGATTCAATGGATTCAATGGATTCTGGTATATTAAGAATGGTATATTAAGAATATTAAATTTCTAGATTATATGTATAAATTGAGGAAAAATCTGTAAAATATTATATAAAGTAAAATAATCGCGTTGAAAAAAACTTAACTTATAAAGAAACTTGCAAAGAAAACATTTAATCTGATCTTCTATAAATACACGTTCAGAACAAAGAGAAAAAAAAACAAAGAAAAAAGTTAGAAAAAGAAACGTTATATTTTTCGTTTACTTCTTTTTTTTTACTTTCTCCTTCTGTTTTTTTATTTCTTCTATAAATATGAATAAATATAAGTGACGGAAAAAAATTAACGGAGCCCGGGAGAACTTCGTACTCTATATATTTTTAATCTTATATTTCTAATCTTGTATCTAAACTCACGACTGCTTAATTACTTCTAATATTCTTGGTTACATATATCTAATCAGCCATACTGCTCCATATTCTTAAATATGTATTTATAAAAAATAAGACTGTTATCTTCTTGTAATGTAATATTTTAAGTAAGTTCTTTCCAACGCAATCATTTTACTACAATTGTAAAGTTGCGTCAATGATTAGAAGAAATATCGAATGCCTTCTAATTGCTTTAACACATTTTGCCACAAATTTAATGTAACATAGAAATGCATAAAGTGTAACATTGTATACGATTCAATTGAAACAAAGTGTGTACTAATATGTGTACGTTGCATCATGATTTCGAATAGAATCTTGAATAGAGTTAGGTTTATATTTCAATATCATATGCCTTAATATTTGTGTGGTGATGATGATTGAAACTGCTTTCATTTTTCCCACGTTTTCTTTTTTCGTTTATGATCGCCGTGGTTATATAGAAACTATTTATTTGTCACTAAAAAACGCAAGTTTACACAGTAGCTGATTCAAGTAAATCTCGGGCTGAATATGGATGTGTAGTCGATAATTATGCAATTGAAACGCAACTTATGTTGTCGTGTCGCAAGAAAATATCCAAAGATATTGCAATTAGAAAGCATCACACACACACACACATACATATTTATAAGGTCGAATTTACTGAGCTTTCACCGTCAGGATTCGCACGCATACAGAACGCGCGTCCAGAGAATGGGATGCGATCGCGTTCTTAACGTTGCGAGAACCCAACAATGGGCGGCTTCGATCTCCGTATTCGGGAGTCGCACACAATGCAGCGTGCTGACGTGTTTATATAGCTGCGCGCGGAGGGCGTCGAAACGGGACGGGTACAGCGTGTAATTTAGTTATAGATCAGTTTGTTACAATTTGGCATTTCGTTTGTGCGGGCCCTGTAAACGCTGTTTACCCAGGCTCCCGATGATCGACGAGTAAACGCGGTCTGTTTAGAGACTGACGCGAACGGGTCCCGTCACGGCCTACTCTTCCCCTTCTTCCTCTCCTCTCTCTTTTTTCTTCTTTTCTATATTATACCACGAATTTCTTCAAAGATACACGTGTGACGAAAAAGAAATATTCCTCCTCCGGAAAGTTCATATAATTTTAAATGTATTATATAATCGACGTTAGGATAGTTGAGACATTCCTTATTTGTAATAACTATAGTAATAATATTTTAATAACTGTTACATTATTATATTAACTGTACAAACATAGATATTCAAATATAAAATATTACAAATTTATAGGTAATGAATTTTAAAATTGAATTATGCGCAGTTTCTATGACTTATATCATTTTGAATACGAAAGTGTATTATTATTTCCTTAATTTGCCCAGATAATCAACATTTTGTTATATTACCCTATTCGAATCTTTTATATCATAGCATAGTTTACATTACATCGTTTCTTTGTTTGTATGTTTTTGCAGATAATTCAGATAACATTTTAACAGAATATAAGTACATTGTTTCTTAATTTATCTGAATAATCGATATCTTAATGTATTATCCCATTTAAGTCTCTTACAGATTCGATTTTATAAAAAGATTATATACGAAACAATGCTTTTCAAGCGTTTAAACTTTAGTAAAATACAAAAAACATTTAAATCTTTGAAATTTCGAGTCCATGGCAAAATAATGACATCACTAACATTTCTATTTATTAAACATTTCAAAATTTAAGAAAATTAAATATCATCATTTCAAGTTAGATAACAATTGCGTTTATTTTCAAATCTGATATATAATTCCACTCATAATTTTTTATATTATGTAAAAGTTTGCTAAAATATATTCTAGGAAACGGCGCCAAGAACTTCTTAACTTTGACGATTCTTTCGATGATTGTGTTAGTTTCTGTTCTCTATAATTCTCAAATCGTGTGAAGATCAGCACTTCCACAAACAGCTTTTCAAACTGTATTCCACTGAGACATCGAAATATCTAAATTGAATAAAATATGTCCAGTAATTTATTTTTCTTTTTAAATGTTTCTAGGTTTTGACAGCTGTACAATATGTCAATGATTAAGTACAGCAGGTAAAACAGTCTATTTTCACGATCTTATTGTTAGATTTAGAACCATTGGGGATTTAAAATTCCTTTTAAAATGCAATTTTGAAAAGAAAAGTATAAATAAGATAATATATACATATTTAACAATGATGACATAGCTGTGTACGAACTCCATAGAAATAGCAAAACTCTCAGGAGATATTTGGAATAATAATGATCTGATCCTTTCGTGCTGTTTTTAAGATTTTTAAGACCATTTTTAGAGTCTATTTGTTTCAAAATTTATATATCTAAGCTAGCTATTTAGCATTAAGAACGATTAATAGATCTAACAATAGAAAACATATTCTCACGTATAAATTATCTTCTTGAAGAAACTTTGGTTGTATAATATTCGAAATTTAAAATTATCATTTAGTTCCTATTAATCTTTTTACAATCGATAGATACACAAAAGTAATTATATGAATAATCATAATCATTAAGCTTTTAATGAAGCTATCCGTTTTGTATAGTGATGTGTGACGTTTTGAAGAATATCTTAATTTTTTCGAAAATAAAAAGAATTGAAATTCGAAGCTAGAGATTATCTCGAGATGACTTTTCCGACAATTCCCTATCGAATTACGTGTTTATACGGCCAAGAATCATCAGCAGCCAAAGTGATGGAAAACGATAAATAAAGGAAAAAAAAAAGAATTGTGGCGACATGGTGGTGACATGAGACTTTGGTTGAGGTGCGACAGATACATTATTCTAACTCGACACAATGTGTCTAGAGCATTCACCTGTCAGAAGAATCGATCCACAAGGAAAGAAATAGAAAGATTCAGGTATAAAATACTGCGATATACAAAAATAACCCGACTTCAGCAAACTTATAGGTACTTTGATAGATGGGTTTGACATTTCAATGGATCTTCATTTTTCGTTACAGTTTCACAGCGTCGAAGGCCAGTATGATTATAGAGTTCGTTATGTCTTTCAAAACTACGAAAAACATTTCTTCCTCAACAATCGCCATGGTAACAGAAAGAGATAGCAATTGCAAAAGAAGTGATAAGTCGCAAGTACAGTGGGGTGGGACGATTCTTTTCGTACAAAGTCTTGAGAGAAATTTGGATGACATCGGCGTAGGACGTTATAGACGCGATACACGGGTCGGACATGTCTCGGAGCCTTTTAACCGTTTGACATCGGCGACACGTAGAATACATTCTGCGGGCATCCCTCGTAAGGCGCAGATTCCATCTCGCGCGTCAACCTGTCCGATCGCCTCGTTTCTTGAAAGCTGACCGGGACAAGCACGCGGACATGCTCGAATATTCGAGGCGGGCGGACAATTCCTTTTGAACTGCTGCTCGATCCGCCGACGGAAACATTCGTTCTTTTTCCTTGTCTTTTATTCAGTCAAAATGGGAATAAAGATACAACAGAGCGCGCAACAGATACCTCTGAAATCGATCGCGGCGGCTTCGAGTGCTGACTGCAGAATCTTCCCACAACAGGTTGCACTTTCCCATCTGTCATATAACTACAAGCATATAGTATTCAATGTTGATATTTTTGACATTATGTGACGTCTCAATTGAAATTAATCTCTTCAGATTTTCCCTTAAATTACAATAACAAAGTAAGAAGCACGTAAAATTTGAAATGTTTATATTAGATCTGTTTTCTGTAACTGAACTAATGTACACTTTTGAAAGTGAAATGTTTGATATTTAACAAGAATGTGAAATTCTAGTGCAATCTAGTGCAGGAATAAAAAACAAACCTGTAGTCTTAATTTCTCAGCTGGATTCACAGCTGCATTTTCTACACGAGTTTCTGAATCAAATATAGCTATCCTTTGACAAGACATTCTCTTTTTGTCAAACAAACAAAAGTATAAAATCATTAAAAGATACGTTAGAAGGAATTCCAAATGTAGAAATGACTTCCTACATTTCTAGATTAGATTCATTCTATCTCACGCGTCTCCTGTCCAATCTGTCTCCGATATCCTCTGAAAAGGAGACCGCGGAGACATGACCGTGAACACGAGTTGAGAGGACGGTTTTGAGAAGTTTCTCTATCTGCGTTCAGGAGAAGAGATGCCAG